AAAAAAAAAAAAAAAAAAAAAAAAAAAAAAAAAAAAAAAAGACAAAAGGAGACAGATGAAGAAAACAAGCAGAAAAACAAATAAAAGACTAAGACACACAACCCTAAACCCTAAACCCTAAACCCTAAACCCTAAACCCTTTGTCTTGCCTGCATTTTCTGTTCTTTCTTCTTTCTCCTGTTCTCCGCCTCTGTGGTTTTATCTCGCAGCTCGACGTTCTCTATGAAGAAACCCTAAACCCTAAACCCTAAACCCTAAACCCTAAACCCTAAACCCTAAACGCTAAACCCTAAACCCTAAACCCTAATAAACAATTCCGTCTCACTCTCAGCAAATTGTGAAACTCCCGCCGTCTCCTCGCTGCAGCTGTACATACACCCCAACACCATGGCGTTTAGGGTTTAGGGTTTAGGGTTTAGGGTTTGGGTGGAGGGTGTTAAGGAGGATAAAGGAAACGCACCAAGCCTTAGATGTGCCTTCTGCTGCCGTTGCTGCTGTTGCTGCTGTTGCTGCTGCTGCTGCTGCTGTTGCTGCTGTTGCTGCTGCTGCTGCTGTTGCTGCTGTCTTTGTTGCTGCTGCATCTGCTGCCTCTGTAATATCCTCCATACCCTATGAAGCAAACAAACCAGCTATTGAAAATTCAGGGTTTAGGGTTTAGGGTTTAGGGTTTAGGGTTTAGGGTTTGATGATGGGGTTTTGTAACGTCTCTGTCTCTAGCTACTTCTTCCCTCTACCCAGGCCATACTGCCTAAACCCTAAACCCTAAACCCTAAACCCTAAACCCTAAACCCTAAACCGGAAACTTACTTGTGGCGAGTCTGCCTTTGGCCTGGGGGTTGGGGTTGCAGAACGAGGAGCGTCGCGGGGGTGGGTATTGAAGGGTTTAGGGTTTAGGGTTTGATTAGGGTTTAGGGTTTGTTTAGGGTTTAGGGTTTGTTTAGGGTTTAGGGTTTGTATGTCCCTAGGAGTTGCGTTCGTCTTGCTCCTCCTGAGAAGAAAAGAAAAAAATGTAAACCCTTTTCTTTCTTTATTAAAACAAATAAGGGTTTAGGGTTTAGGGTTTAGGGTTTAGGGTTTAGGGTTTAGCCTTCACCTGGACACTCCCTTCCTTTGTGAAACCCTCCGCTGCAGCGGTGCTGCTGCTGCTGCTGCTGCTGCTGTTGCTGCTGCTGCTGCTGGTGCTGCTGCTGCTCTTGCTCCTGCTAAAGCAGGGAAAAGACAGCCATGCAGCAGTAACCTAAACCCTAAACCCTAAACCCTAAACCCTAAACCCTAAACCCTAAACCCTAAACCCTTAGACTGTCTCCTAGAGAGTTTGATGAGGGAGCCGTTTTATAAGGGTTTAGAGGGGAGACAGTATATGCAGCTGTT